TGCGGAAGACCATGGCCGCCCTTGCCATTGGCATCGATGATATCGTCATAGCCTTCACCATAATTAACGAGCCGTGGGTAGGCTGTGATGCACGCACGTTGAACCAAGATGAGTTCAGGGAGCGGATCTCGGGGAAGGAAATCCTCGAGTATCTGCAACAGCGCTAATACAGTCTTGAGCTGAAGCGGGGTGCTGGCGTTCTGGGCAAGCTGGCCAGCAGGGGCCTTCTGGGATTGTATTTCAAGGTTGGCCTTTATGAGCAGGAACTGCGTCAAAGCCGGGGATATGGGAGGGGTCGCCTCCGAAATGTTGCGAGCCCATTGGGTGAGGTCGAGTTGGCCTTCACCATGGGCGAATGATGCAAGATCCAGTCCAAAACCATTTGGGAGGTAGACAAGATCGTCCAGCCAGCCATGTTTAATGACGTGCCCGTATATTAGGGGGAGCTCTCCTGGCTTGATTGCATGTGCATCCACAAGTCTCTGCGTTACCCAATCCCTATCCTTCCGCCACAGGGTATCAAATACAAACTCATGATGAGGCCGACGGTGGAGGAAGCTGTCGAACAGCGACACCAGTGTGTCGATAGCCATGGCCGGCCACGGTTTAGGCACGCCGAAAGCCGACACGATAAATATGTCTAGGTTAGGGACCACGACTTTTTGAAATAGCCGCTTCGCTTCTGTGCTCTGTGAGGCATGCAGGGAATGCAATGCAACCTGAAAGATGGCCAAGAGCGCAGGGCCCGAAACCAGCGGGTGCTTGACAGCAAAAGCGGCTCGCTCACGCACTTCAGGCGGCGACTGGGCGTAGTCTCCAAGGGTAAAAGTCGGCTGCGATCCAGGGATAGTGCTGGCATCGAGATCATTCGGCGTCAGGGACGCGAATGCGCAAATGAAGGCCAACTGCGTCTCAGGATTCTCCCAGTGCGTCCCACCCCAGAGAGATTGGATATCAAAAGGCGGTGACTGCTCATCCTTCCGTTGGGCAATGGGTAGAAGAGCGTTGTATAACCGCAGGAATTGCTCGGGCGAGACACGCACGTCACGTTGGTCGAAGTAGGCCACGACATCTTGCCAGTTGAAAGTCGGAGGCACATTGCGCCGCAGTGCAGCAACCAGGACCGAGGGATTGTGTCGGTAGGTGATGCTCACCGTGGTATAAGTCAAGGCAGCAGAGACTTGCTCCTCGCTTAACTGGATATTAGTGGGCCGGTTCTGGAGGTAGCTTAAGCAGGTATCCTCATCGCGAGTGAAGTCGGGCCCGGATTTCTGGATATAGAGAGCTAGCGCGTTCGGTGGCTTCTCGCCCAAAACACGAATGAGGTCTAGAGAAGCCAGCACTTCAAGGGGCGGTGCCTCCGAGGCAGCCCAGCGCGACTGGACCTTGTGACTGAGCTCGTGCTTGGCGGCCGCGTTGAAGTTGGGTGGGTGGCCTTGAATGTATCGGTCGACAATCGCAGCAATAAAGGTAGGCGTCAGGTCGGTATGGTCGCTCAAGTCTGGGCGCGAAATAATATTGACAAATGTAGGGAAATTGGCGGACAGTATGGCATCAGCTGCAAATCTGTCAGGAGGAGGTATGTCTAACAAACGACAGAGCAAGCACCCAGCAAGAGACATGGGTGGGGGGCAAGTGAACGAACCTTTCGTCTTAAGATCTGACCGCGACGTGACTTTGAAAGCGAGTGCTAGTATGGTCTTCTCGAGAGCATCGAGCTTGAAGTGTTCCATAAACGTAGATAGGTCAAAGTCACGGAATATGTCTTCATTCGCCGTCTCGATAGACTCGGCAATCTTGGAAGCTTGACTGGGGTCATGTGATATCTTGTCCATTTCGCTAACCAGCAAGGAATAGTTGCCCGGGTTTGGATTCGGCCTGTTGAGGCCGGGGAATATCTGAGCGGCATTGCCGGCTACCAGCCGGGTGAAGTATCGTGAAAAGACTTCCATTCCGTGATCATCGAGGAGCTAGTCAAGATGGACAAAGAGTAAGCTTCAAGTCATCTCCACGTGTTTTTGCATGTAGGTCAACGAACCTTGTTTAGTTGATCCACCTGCAACTCCCACTTTGCGCGATCCTTGTCCTTGTTGATGGTGCTCAGCAGAAGATAGACCTGGGCAACGACGATTTTGGTGAGAGAATTACTGCTACCCGTAGTTGGGCTGCTGGTACTGGGGCTTGCGCCAGCACTCAGAGGGCCACCTTGTGACGGATGAGGTGAATGGGTCAAGCCCGTCTGCAGACCGTGAATAGGAGCAGGGGAGAAGGTTCCAGATCGTGAATGGGAGGAGGGTGGGGGGACCATGAGGGTGGTGGTCACGAGTCTCGAGGGGGAAGGAGATCGGATAGGGGAAAAGTGAAATGCGAATCTCCTGGAACCCCTCGCACTATCACTAGGTGGTGGTGTTACGTGGTGGAAGCCAAAGAGAATGCAGACTACCGCGCTGCAGGGCTACAGATTGACCGGCAATGACGAACAGACAGCGCAGGGTATGGGTATAACTCTCTTACTGGGTCTTGAGGTCATGGGCCCAACTGGAGGAAGGTCGAGCGTTGGATAGAGGTATGACGAGTCACCGTGTTGGGCCCCTTGGGGGATTCGAATCCTCCAAGGACCTCAAAAGTAGACGGGCTGACGCAGTAGGATGAGCAACCGGGAGTAAGTTTTCGCCGGAGCTCTGTCGGTCGAGAGCCCTGTCGCCAGTCAAACGTCCAGGTGGGTGGTGAGAATATATCGGTCGTGGACGCCGTTGCGGACCGCACACCTCTTCGCTTCTTTCTTCAGGCAGAGAGCTCTGGGGTACCTGTGTATCTGAGCAGTGGAAGGACGGAACGTCAGGCGGCGACAGACGCGAGATAAAGGTACGGAGATTGCCTATGCGGGCCGCGTGTTCGAGAGTGAATGGTGTTCTGACTTGACAGTGGCAGAAGTAATTCTGGGTGTTGTGACTAGAATAGAGGAAGTGGAGGGCGAGGGATAGTGTCGGACAAAGGAAGAAGCAGAGTTCGATAATGTACATCTACACAGTACGTGGATAGGTGTCTGGCTGTCAAGATCAATGAGCCATCTGCCACAGGGCTACGGCCTACGCAGTACAGCAGTACAGGCCTGCCAGTACCGATCATGCCCCGTGGGCCGTTTGGCATACGGTGCAAAATTTCTGAGAACTGTATGGATCACACAGTATAGACATGATGTTACAGCACGTACTGCTGTACTGGAGCGGCCCCTCTTCTCCAATTGAATGTTGACCTCTGCTGCAACTACAGCGGTACAACTGTATACTGTACTCCGTACTGTGTACGTGCCTTGCTGTACTGCTGTACAATAGACTACCTACATAATGTAGTTCAGATACTGGTGTATGCTGTACTAATTAAATGATACCGTTTGCTTGGTTTCAGCCTTGCCTGGACTCTTTCACCTAGGTTAGGTCAATCTCAGCTGCGAGCAGCTGCAACTGATCGACTTTACATGCCATGAAGTAATAGTAGCTACTGTGCGCAGTATCTACATGTAGTCTAGATGCAAGCTTGAATGGGAACTGTCCAGGTTAGGAGCCTTTACCCTTTACCGGCTGTAAATTCATATGCTGTCCTCCCAAGTGCACTTGGAGTTTTTGGTAACATTGTACGCCAGTGCCTTCCTGTTAAAGATCCTACACTGACGTGGATCACGATGACAATCTAAACTCAAGGTGAGGCTGGCCGCAATGGAAACAGCAATAACCCGATGGTCCATCGAACATGGTCTACTATTGTGCGTTGCTACTCAAGTTGCACGCAGCAATGGTATTGTCACTACAAACTCAAAGCTGAGCAGAGCAACATCGGTTCAGACAGCGGAAGCTGACCCGCCCTGTTGCATTGTATCATGCAGTTTAACAATTCCTAGCTTCATTGTCCTGCGTCAACTGGAGGGGCCTTGACCTTGTCCGTTTGACCCAGCATGAGCAATGGCACTCAGTCACGGATACTCTGCATTGAGGAGCTAGGCAGTTGTTGGTGCAGCTACTGCTAATCTGTGGAAGATAGGGGTACTACAAGTGTGGATTGGATGTATTCACCTAAGCTGCAGTGATGGCAGGTTTTGCAGCACCGAGTGTAGAAGATGCAGTCGAGCACCACGCATCCCTGATTTGAAATGCTTGTCACCGGCACAGAGTGCAGGTAGGTTGCACAACCCAGGACTGAAAGGAGGTCGTGGTCGGTGACAGACCCTTGCGTCTCTCCGCCTTGACGAGGACGGGAATTTACGGTGATCTGACCCGAGTGTCGTGATGCTGATCCACGTGCTCCTCCTGTCGTGGATGAATATGTCGTCCGTGAGAATTGACAGACTGCGCCAGGCCTCCCTCTGTCAGGTGTGCATCGCTCCAGACAACGGTCCCATTTTCTTCTAGTTGGCTCCAGCAACGCTTGCATAAGATATTAACTCAGTCCTGTTCCCCAGAGTGTCAGAGGAAAGGAAAGGTGGTGTGACACCTACGTTCCAAGCACGGGTTCCATAATAGTTCTCAGCAACGTTGTGATAGCCTTCTTCATGGCGTGCCAGGAACAGCACCTTGTACTGTGTGTTGCAACCGGCCTGTTTGTTCAGTGACTCTACATGGTGCTCAAAACGCTGGCATTGCATCTTCTCTTTCTGCAGGTCGAACTTGTCGTCTGTAGGATATGATCTTTTGATCAGACCATAGCCATATAGAGTCTGATCGTATCCCATCAGAGATGCTCTCCTGAAAGAAGCCAGGCACAGTGGTGTAAAAACGATGGACTGCCCATGCCCTTTGGTTGCTGATCGGCCCTTCTCATTGTTTTGCCCGTACCCATCAACCGCCGAAACAAGACAGATATAGTCTAATTAGTACCAAGTAACAAAGACTTGATTGATTCCATTGATATCTTGTGTTTCTGTGCTCAGAGCGATGCAGTGACCAACTCCCGCTGCAAGACATGACCGCTTTCTCGTAGCGGCTTGTTCACTAAAACAACAAACGGGCAAGATGGCCGAGTGGTTATGGCGGTGGTCTCAAGTCAATGGTTCAAACAACCTCCCAACTTGCACTAGTAAATAGTGATGTATGCCACTGGAGCAATCCGCAGGGGTTCGAATCCCCTTCTTGTCAACGTGTTTCAATTTTATTTTTTAGATTCTAATGCCACCAGGTAAGAAGACGTGATGGTGCTCTTTTAACCCAGAAAATTGATGAAAAAACGAGAGATGATGGCCATCCTGGCAAAAACTAGACTAGGTAGGTACATGTTTGGGCAAGATATTCTGGGAAATTCAACAGTACAGACTCTTTCCCATGGTACAGGCCAGAGATTCTGGCCTTCTCTGTCCCAGTTGATAGTCGTATTTCAAAATCCTAAAGTCACGGTCTACTGACGGTAACATGTTGTGCAATATCTAATGTTTGCTTCCTGTGCGCTGGGTCAGGCCCATATGGCACGGCCATGATGGAAGAAAACCTATGACAATTCTTGTGCAGCATCTGCTGTTGTCCAGACAAGTCAGTCAGGAACAAGTGGTAAAGAGACAACCAGGCATACCAAGGATAAGCCACGCTGGGGTTAGCGATATCGAGTAAATTCCCTCATTGCACACAACTGTCAAGCTGCATCAGGAACATCATGATTCCACGAAACGAGCTGTGTAGTCCAGATCAAGCATCTCTACCAAGTATCTTTCCATAGGCACACGACCTGACAAATTGCATAGAAATAGTTAATTCATCTATTTGGTATGTTACTGTGTGGCACTTTCCAGAAAAGGACAAAGGCCAGTCCCACAGTGACAGAGCCCATAGTCTAGACCTGACCCAACTTAGGTAACGCACTGGAAGCCCAATGGAAACCTTATCCAATTGCTATTGATTTAACCTACGGGTTTACCCCGCCAGCGCAATGTTTTTATTTTACATATTCATCCCTAACGCTCGGAGCGGGGTTTTTATAATGGGTGACCCTCCATAGACCTGATCGATCGTGCGACTTGCAGCCTCACTTCCTCTGCATTATCGGCAACTTCCAAAGCTCCCCCAGACTCTCCCGTCGCCTCTTCCTTCTCAAACAACCCATTGCAACCACTCCATAATTGCGTTCCTAAATCCGTCAAAATGGATAGTACGTTGCATCCTGCCCGATTCCCTACCTGGCGTAGGCTTTTTTCCCTTCCGTGCTAACATAGTCGGCGCACAGGTCTCCCGCCCGAAGAGATTGCCAGTAAAGCCTCCTCCTAACTGCCGCATGCTGCGCGCTCCAATCCGTGTCCTTGTAAGACCGTTCTAATCTAGGTTCATATGGACAGGTCAATTTGCGGCCAAATATTACGATGATTTCGTGACCGACCGTCTGGCCTTCGTCCAGTATTTCTACGTGCGTGACACAAATCACCGCCACCAAGCCATTTCAAAACTGAGCGCAAACTAACACACCTGCTCGATGCAGCGAGAACACTCGACATTGACCTTCGAGGCCAACGTGCTTCAGGGTATTAACGCTATCGGACAGAAGTGGACTGTGCGTTTTTGCGAATCACCTTGAGGAGAAGGAAGGGTGGCTAATGATAGCAACGTTTAGGAAGATTTCCTGAAGGGCGCCAGGCTCGTGGTGACCACTACCAATGCTCAGAAGGCCCCTGGCGGCTTCGTCATCGTCCTCGTCACCGGCCGCCTCCAGGTAAGAAACAGAAATATAACTCGTCCACTCTTCTCCGTCTCCATCTCCTTTTGGCGCTGTTGCTGACCAGGATTTCACTTCAACTTCCCAGCTCTCTCCGGAGGATGCGCTCATGAACTTCGCCCAGACCTTCCTCATCACCATGGACGAGAAGGGTGTATACTGCCACAACGACATCTTCAAGCTGGTCTATGGTTAAATGTCAGTCAACCCGCGTTCAACGACTCCGTAGGGGCTCTCTACCCCTCGAGGCCGACAGGGTGTTTTGTGATAGAGAGCAAGGGCTGCTGGCTGGAAAACAAGGGGGATTGGAAGGGATGGCACTCCTTTTCGACCCTTGCAACACCTCCTCTGCAAGATGTATGCTAGAATGGGAATAGATTGAGGCCGTTTCTTTGAATCGAGGATGTGACATACACCCTCTCTCTACGAAGCTATGAGACTGGGTGGAGGGCATCATCCTCCAGCCCTGTGCAAAGTTGCCTGAAATTTACAAGATACTGAGCACAACAGATTGGGTGTTTTTTTTCTTCTTCTCTGCACCGTAGCAGGATTTCACAACTGCCGGCTTTGTTCTTTCAAGGCGTGCATAAAGAGACACTCCCTTGCCACCTATTTCAAGGAGCACTTACAATGCAGCAAGGTATGGGCATTGAGTGGCTTTTATGAAGCCAGTGTGGTGTTATTGGCGTGGTAAATCATGAGGGATCGAGGTGAAGCTCGTGGGCCAGACAGCGGACCAGAATACAGGGAACGGAAACAAGGTAAAGTTCATTGTTCTCGCAAAGTATGTCATATCATTCATTATCAACAGTAACAAGCACATGAGCGTAGGCCTCCCTTCCCTACCAGATGACCACCATGCACCGAACCACGTCCTCTACCATGTAAATCGTAAAGTCTAGTTCGTCAAGAGTGTATGTATGCTGCCGATCCCGGCAAACACTGTACGTATGCATGGCATGGGCAGATTGCATCCCGAGCAAAAACCAAAGAGAAACCGTGGTTTCCGAAAGGATCAGCTGAGGTCGAAACCTGCGCCAGACTGCACAGCGTACAACAACTTGGCCTTCAACGTCGCCGCTGTCTGATACACCGGAAGCTTCAGCAGATTGACGCAGGTGCTTGTGCTGGGCAACCTCTCCTGGTCCGTGCCACCGTCTCGGATGGTGAATCCAGGCTTCAGCTGCGAGAAACCCAGAAGAGGCGCCCTGGGAGTGGACGTGACATATTTCAGCACCTCTCTGCGCTCCGAGTCCTTCAACTCTCTCATCACTTCCCAGAAGTAGACGATGGTGGGATGCTCAAGGCCGTCGTCTCCAATCTCGTACAGGCCCGAGTAGGTAGTATTTTGTCTCAGATCCTCGATGTCGATCTCGGAGCTGTCACCGCCGATGAGTCGTTGCAGCTCAGACTGATTGAACATGGAGAGCCAAGACGGATTGATGATGGTGCCTAGACCGCGCAGGAACGCCTTCGTCTGCCGGTACTGCTGTGCAACGAGTCGGTGGTTGGCCACGTATGATATGTACAGCGGCCGGTCTTTGTTTGTGACCGGTATGTTAGCGCCGTCCTTCCTGAGAGGCCGGATGATATTGCGCCTCTGGCCAGAGGCATCTCGCACTGAGTCGGCGATGGTGAAGTCCAGTGAGAGGTCTGCCACATCGCCAGGGTAGTTCTTCAGGTCCATCAGGCCCTTGTACAGTTCGGGGTCGAGATCCCGCAGATCGTTGAGATTAGCTCGATAGTCCGTCGTGCTGCTCTGGCCCGAGGAGGCCCACTTGAGTAGGAAGAAGCTCGCAAACGAAATGTCGATGAGGATCCCCTCGTACATACATTTCCCCACAATGCGGCCGAGGAACTCGTACCGTTTGAGAATGTCATTCAGGGTCGTTCTCCACTCGACGCTGCCTTCCACCACTCCGTAACTGCGCATCTCAGCTGCCACGTCGTCGAAGATGGAAGGGTTGGGATAGAGCAGGTTCTGGTTGTTGGACACGAAGTAGACCCTGTTGTCGATACGTTCCGGGCTGAACGCATCGTTAGTAGCACTGATGAGAAATTCTTTCGTCACGCCTCCGCCGTCGATCCCAGCTTCCTGTTGTTGGAACTGGTCGACGAACGTGATTTGGATGGGTTCCTTGAGACCCTCGCCTAGCGGGTAAAACTGATCATAAGCGTCGTCAAACACTCTGCCACGACCAACGATTGCGGTATGACGACCTAGATATTGCCTCCTTTGGTCACGTAGCCCGGCGGGCACCTGCTCGCCTGTCATAATCGCGATCCGCCACCGGTCGGGATCGATATATCCGCCCCGTCGTTGAGCTTGGTCCAGGTGCACAAACTGACGGAAGATCTGGACTCGGACTTCGAACGGGATAGCGAAGGGCATATTACGGAGCACCTCAAGCTTGGGTCCCGTCGCGCTTCGCAGCCGTTCCGCTGCCCGCCGCCAGTGGCCTTCCTCTCCCGCTTCTCCTTCGTCGTCGGACTCGAGTATCTCGATATTACGAATCTCTTCAGCAACCACTGCGGAAATGAACATAGCCATGTCGAAGTTTGAGGTCATAAGCCAGAAGTCCTTGGGGAGGAACGGACGCCGGGAATCCCGTTCATACAATGCACGCATGGCCGACGAGGCAACATCCCGGAGACCTAATATACTCATGCCGATGATGCCTGCAAAGGGGGGCATGCCATCCCTCGTGTCCTGTGTCTTAACCCTAGAGGAGTCGGCACCCGTTTCAGTATCGAGGCGGCTTGTGCGACTGGCAGCCGACATCTGGTTGGTGATGTCGGGCAAGTTATAGAATAGCTGGAAGGCGAGATTCTTCAAAAAGCTGACAAGGAGGCGTAGCTCGCCCAGCGCAAGTCCGCTGTTACGAATCCGGATTGCCGCTTGGCTCTGTCGCGTGTAGATTTCAGTCTCTCGGGGTAGGAAATCCTCATCGTCGGTGACGCGAAGAAGGAAGTTATAGAGCTCCAAGAAGAGCAGAATCGTTCGCCATTCCAAGTCGTGCACCGGATCGGGCAGAAGAAGCGCCGCAACAGTGTTCAGCTTATCCCTGGCGTCAATTTGCTGCGCAACGGTCGTGAAAACACCAGTCTTCGCTGCTGCTTTCCAGAAGTACTTCACCGATGGTAGTGGGCCCTCACTCGTCTGTATGTCTCCTTGAAAGAAGCGCATTTTGATGTCGTCGCCATGTGTCGGGAAGCACTGCAGAAGGACGAGCGTGTATCCGGCCAGAAGGCTCGTCATTTCAGAAACATGGCCAGCAGCCGACGCATTCCTGCATCTCGGTCAGCCCCGGAGTCGGTGGCCTTTCATGGGACGGAGTGAGAACTTACGAATCAAATTTCTTCAGGAGGTCCATGATACCATCGTCGTTGACCAGAAATTCTAATTGCTCGGCCACATATTCCGGCATGGGGGTATAGTCCT